AGCTAGTGAATGACTTGCCCAGAATCACACAGGTAGTGAGTGGCATACCTTGCATATAAACCCAAGCAGTCTGGTTCCAGAGCCTGTGTCTTAACCATTGTGAGGGAATTAGACTGTGAAGGGACTTGTGAAGGAGTTGAAATTTTATTATGTGTTTTATGTTTTAAAACAACCCACAGTAGAAATACAGTTTATATCATGACCCAGCATGTGCATGTGTATATAAGAAAAGTTTTATGAAACAATATTTTAAATTTGTATGAGTGATACATAGTTTCTATCATGTTTTGTTAACACTGGTTGGGACCCACTTAAATTGATTTTACAATTTAAGCCACAGTTTGGAAAAATCCTACTAGTCAATAGGTGAGCATCTGAAGAATTTCAAGTAGGGCAATCACATGATCAGGTTTGTGCTTTTAGGTAGGTCACACTGGCAGCAGTATAAAGACTGGATTGGAGAAGAAGGGACCAGAAAGCAGAGAGACGAATAAGGGTTATTTTAATGGACCAGGTAAAAGATGCCTGAGTGAGGTAGGGCAGGAGCATTGGGGAGAGAGAAAAAGGAATAGAGAGAAGGGAGACTTAGGAAGTAGAATTGGTAGAACTTGTTGATTAGATGGGGACCATCAGCTCATACTTGATAGAAAAGGAAGTCAATTTAATTCAAAGCCTATCTGACTCTATTCTTCAGGCACTGAAACTGTGTGTGTCTCTCTTTACATACTATTTGGTTGTCTTTTCTATTCCTCTACTTTTATATATAAAAATGTGCTGACCTGGCTTAATTAAATGATTAATTAAATGATTTTTAAATTTATATAAAAAATTAGATGCCCACCCCATCCCCACATTCCTGCCTCCCCTCCCCTGCCCCATGCCATTAGAATCTGGAAGATTTGCACAGTGATATGAATAAGTTCACTTAGCATACTGAACACTCAACAAACCTTTGTTGAGTGTGTTCTGTGTTATACTCTCCCAAAGCAGAAACTCTTAACATTATGTTTATTAATTAGAGAAATACTTTTGAGTAATTTTTTGACTTTGTTATCCTTATCTTTTCATTTTTGTAATATTTGATTCCCTTTAGGGGGATATTGAACTTTGTATGTATGATGGTATTTAATTTTTTTACCTTAAAAAAAGGCAAAAAAAGTAGTTATTCATCAGCATGAAATCTTTTCTCAGTAAAATTTTAGCAATATTTCTTTAAAAAATATTTTTATTTATTTCAGAGAGAAGGGAAAGGGAAAGAGAGATAGAAACATCAATGATGAGAGAGAATCATTGATTGGCTGCCTCCTGCATGCCCCACACTGGGGATCAAGCCCGCAACCCAGGCATATGCCATGACTGGGAATCAAACTGTAACTTCCTTGCTCATAGGTCGACACTCAACCACTGAGTCATGCTGGCCAGGGTTAACAATCTTCCTTTCCACATTAGAAATGTAGATGTGAGTTTCATACTGCTTCTGCTACCCCAGTTTCTCAAGAGAGGTACATAAATAAAAATATGTAATTGAGAATAAGTTATTTGGAGTGATTCTCTAGAATTTTAATTGACCAGGCACTTTACTGGTTATTTTTCCTAGAAAGCACATATCTTTGGTCTTCTAGGTATTATAATACAAAGATAAGTGTCTATTTTATAACTATGACAGGTTTTAAGAGATATTACAATATCGATGTTACCAGAAAAGATTGTATTTGCAATGTAGTTGGTGAACCTTTTTAAATCTCATGGGAGCAAAGGATTTCAGTACCATTACAGAATTCTTTTAGTTTTGTGAAATAGTTAAGGAAATGAAGAGAAGGAAGTGTTAATAGGTATGTGTTTGTGCTTCCCAGTCACCAAAATAAAGGTAAATAATTGAAGAGGATTAGGAGCCATGTGGTATAATAAAGTTAGCCTCAGGGTTCTCTTCTTTTCTATTCCATTAACTTGCTATTTGTACTTGGGCAACTGACTTAACCTTTTTGGTTTTTATAAGTAAGGATGTCTGATTAGGTAAGCCTTAAGGGCTTCTTTAATCCTAAGTCGTATATCATCTATACTAATAAAAGGGTAATATGCTAATTAGGGTGCACATCTTCCGGACGTCCATCTGGACAAAGCCACAGTGACTGCGAGGTCCAGGGTTCAGGCAGCCATGGGCTCAGATAGCCTTGAGCCCTGGCAACTAGAGGCCCAGGGCTCAGGCAGCTATGGGTTCAGGCAGCTGTGAGCCCCAGTGGCTGCGAGGCCCAGGGTTCAGGCCTTGCAGCTGCCGCGGTCGGCAGTGGCAGCAGCAGTGGGGTAATGGGGGTGGCGCCTTCCCCTGATCAGCTTGGTCGCCTCCTGCAGAGGGAGGCTAAACTGCGGCTTAGACCCGCTCCCTAAGCCGTCAGTAGAACATCCCCTGAGGGCTCCTGGACTGTGAGAGGGCTGGCTGGGCTGAGGGACCACCCCCTCAGTGGACGAATTTTCATGCACCGGGCTTCTAGTTTTTATATAAAACACTAGAGGCCCAGTGTACGAATTCGTGCACCAGTGGGGTCCCTTGGCCTGGCCTGCGGGATCAGGCCGAAACCGGCTCTCTGACATCCCCCGAGGGTCCCAGATTGCGAGAGGGTGCAGGCCAGGTTGAGGGACCCCACCGGTGCACGATTGGGGCCAGGGAGGGACATGGGAGATTGGCCAGCTGGGGAGAGACTGTGGGAGGGCTCCAGGGGGTGTCTGGCCCGTCTCGTTCAGTCCCAATCGGCCGGACCCCAGCAGTAAGCTAACCTACCGGTCACAACATCTGCCCCCTGGTGGTCAGTGCATGTGATAGTGACTGATCGACTGGTTGACTGTCTGCCTCCTGGTGGTCAGTGCATGTCATAGTGAGCGGTTGACCGGCCTTAGCATATCATTAGCATATTACGCTTTGATTGGTTGAATGGCCAACCGGCCAACTGGACACTTAGCATATTAGGCTTTTATTATATAGGATTACTAGAGGCCCGGTGCACAACAATTTGTGCACTCGGGAAAGGGGGGGGTCCCTCAGGCCGGCCTGTGCCCTCTCGCAGTCTGGGACCCCACAGGGGAAGTCCGGCTTGTTTCTTCCGCCTCCCTCAGCCCGGGCCCAGGTTGATCGTTCCCGCCTCCCTCAGCCGCCCGGCCCAGGTTGTTCGTTCCCGCCTCCCTCAGCCGCCTGGCTGGCTTGTTTTGCTCCCACCTCCGCCGCCCAGCTTGTTTTCGGCCGCCTGGCTTGCTACGCTCCCAGCGGATATATGCAAATTAACCGCCATCTTGGCTGACAGTTAATTTGCATATACTCACTGATTAGCCAATGAAAAGGGTAGCGGTCGTACGCTAATTACCATGTTTCTCTTTTATTAGTGTAGATAAGTAATTTTATGTTATTGGGTGGCTTGTATAAAATCATAAACTCAAGTGTAATGTATTTGCTTATTCTTACAAGGGTTAAGGCTTGAAGTGAAGAAAAATAGCCTTCCATTTCCTTTTCAGGAAGTTCACATTGTTACTTCTCACATTTTGATGAGCAGTTTATCCTGCATTCCTCTGAAACAGGTCATTATGCTTTTAGTCCCATTTTCCCCTTTCATCTTTTTTCAATCCAGACTGCTCAGTGAATGGGGGGAGAGGTGAGGATGTGTGGGGGACTCCAGAGTTGGAGAGATGGGAGAAGGAAAAAAGCAGTTAATGTTGGAATGTTGAGGGAATATGGGACTGTTCTAATAATTTGTTAATTCTGAGTTGTTGCCAGCCAATCTGAGTGTGAAACCTTAATAAATGATTAGTGCCCCTAGTTGTCTATTCTCCCAAACACTGTGAACTGAGCCTAATAGTGTCAAGAACATAGATAGTCAGTGTTGGATACATGAGTCAGTGAGTTAAAGAGTCCTAGAGCAGTGGTTCTCAACCTTGGCTGCACATTAGAATCACCTGGGAATCTTCATAAAATCCTGATTTCTGGGCCTCATCCTCCGGAAAGTCGATTTCTTTGTTATGGGGTGGGGCCACAACATTAGTAACAAAGAAACAGAATTTCTGGAGGATGAGGCCCAGAAATCAGGATTTTAAAAAGATTCCCAGGTGATTCTAATGTGCAGCCAAGGTTGAGAACCACTGTTCTAAATGCTTCCACTCTGTGAATAATGCAGCTGTAGGTCATCTTGTTCTTTGTGCCTGGATACTACAGTGATGGGAATCACAGAAATGTGAAGGATTTGCTTTTCTTTGATTCAGGCAGCAGCTAATAATCTTAAAAGAGGTCACCGATGATGCTGAAACACGCAGGACTATGTAAAATGCTAAGTTAAAATAGTAATGAAAAAGACTGTAGTGCTATTATATTATACGTAATTTAAGAAATTGACATAATGCATTTACCTGGCAAGTTTTTGGAGTGAGTAGGGGAAAGAGGGAAGAGTGAAGGGCTAGGCACTGCAGAAGGGAGAAAGGAACTATTTGAAAGAGATGCTGCCAACTCTGGGTTTTCTTACATATATATATTTCCAAAGATGACAGATTTTTGGAGGTGTTTATTTTGGAACTAATCTTCTGTATTTCCAGCTGCCCCATTGTATCCTGTATATTGCACTGCTAGAATTCTGCTAGCTGCCATGAAGCAGGGCTGTGGCAAATGGTCAAGTGTGATAAAAACCCATTTTTCATTTTAAAACAGTATAGATATCAGAATACTTTAAAGAAGTATTTAAAAATAGATTGACTGGAGTTGAAGTAGTAAAAACCTAAGGAGAAGATTGAAAGTTTTTTATTTTAATGTAAATGCATTTCTTTTGTAAACAGAAGAATACCAGCTTGTATCTGTCTCTGTCAGTTTTTCTCTTTTTTTACTTCTCTTTCCCTGATCTAAGTGCTGGCACTAGAAGCACTGAATAGACAGGATAAATGAGTTTTCTAATCAGGAAGAGGTGGTGGTATTTTTTTATTTTTATTTTTGAGGGAAATCTGTATACTCTGTGTAAATGTCTTATTACATGTATGCACATTAATAGTTGGGTTTTGTTTCTTTATTTTGTTCTTATTTTAACCCAAAGAAAATGAAATCTTTTTTTTTCCACTTCCAGTTCTGACTTAAGCTTCAAAATGAAATGTCTAAGGATAGTAGAGATATTAAATCAGAATTACATGATAACATATTGCAGAATTTTGGAATATTCATTTATTAGATGGAGAATTGAACTCCAGGAAGTACGTTCTTTAATTTTAATATCTATTCTGCATTGGTGTTTGAGTAAAAATGAAATCAAGTTCATAGTTTGGCCAAGTGCCACAAAGTCAGGTGAGCTTTAAATATATAATGGCTTTCTTTTTAATGCTTGCAGTAAAGGGGGGAAAATAAAGGCAACTATAATAAATTTCTTGCCTCTAATGAGTTTTTGGTAAGATTAAAAGTAGAGACAAGCTGGAGCCCTGAGTTATGAATCTCCAGGTCACATCATAGCCAGTATCAGAAAGTAATAGCACGAGTGGAAGAAAAGACAGAAGATTACTACTGATCAGCAGGCTGTCAAAGCAGCTCACTTGGAAAGGCCCTTCTATCACCAGAGGGTTTCTTTTGGGGGAATGGGTGGTGAGAGAGTCCCTTCATAAGGAAATTATATTGTGTTTAGGCAAACAGACAAGGGGGAAAGTCTTTTTAAATTATGTCTGTAAAAACAAGTAGAATACCATATTTTGTTTATCTTGAGAAATTAAAACTACAGCTGTAATTGCTGCCCCAAGTATCCTTCCTATTTCCTGTTTTCTCTCCCAGAAGTCACATCCTCTCCAAATTGGTATTTACCATTTCCATGTGTTTATGATATATATATATATAAATGTATATATGCATTATATAGTATTGTAAGCATGTTTTAAACCTTATTTAAGAAGATATTAGACTGTATGTATCCTTATGCAATTTGTTCTCTGCTTAATGCTTTAAATATTTAAACTTCATTCATTTTTTATTTTTAACTTTGTGGTGTTTCATTCTCTATTTCACATATTTAACCATTCTTCTGTTGACTGAAAGTCTTTTTAGCTGAATATTTGGGAGGGGGTAGGAAAGAGGAATATATTATATCATTTTTAAAGTTAGACTGGGAATGTTGTTTTGACTTTCAAAACAGCCAGTTTCCTTTTTTGGTGTGGAATGTCCTCATTTATCATATTCCTGGGAAAACCCTTTGTACTTCCCAAGAGAAGACAGAGAAGAGTAATGTTTCATTACACAGATGAACATGTCTTGTGTAAAATGCAGAACAGCATCTGCTGTAATACAGTAAGCTTATGAGGGATTAAGCTGCTGCAGCAAAATCATGGTTTACTGTATAAAAACTCTCAGATTTTTCAAGTGCAGACAAGCTATTGATGGAAAATTGTTGGCATTTATTTATTGTTTCTTTTCTGTGTGTTTGGAATAAATTGCAATTTGGAACATTTTTATTTTGCAAAAGGGTATGTGTCTTAAGTGGTAAAAAGACTTCTTGAATTGTATCTTGGTTTGGTGGAGCAAAGGAAAACAAGGTCTAGGAATGAGGGGAGTTACTTCTTTTTGAGTCAGGTAGTTGGTGTGAAAGAAATATTTCTTTCAATAATAAATCATATATATATTTGCCAGTGTATATTCTTTCATTGTAGTCATTGTTTTAAAAAAGGCAATCTCTGATAAATATTTTTTCTTCTTTGATTTTTTCTTCTTAACATCTTTGATAATGGATTGAAAATTTTGCAAAATACACGCACAGAGCTTCATTCAGGTTGTCCCTCCAAACAATTTGCTGTAGTGCATTAACCAGAAATGCTGATGCAGCAAGGGAAACACTAATAAATGGGATGCTTTCCAGGGACTGTTGCCAAGGTAAGGCAAACACAAGCCGAAATTGAGAAGAAAATGTTAGTTAGGCACCAAAGATGTAGTCTGGTCAGATTTGCTTGCTACTCATGGTGAATATCCCATTCTAATTAAGTTAATTGAGGCCTACACAGTTTGAATCACCAGACTATCTTAAAATGTGACCCAACTTTAAGCATTTAGAATAATGCAAGAATAGTCTTTAGGCTAAAACTGATTTAGAATGAAAACTCGAATTATTGGATAAATTATTGTGCCTCAAGAATGATTAAGCTTAACCTCCTGTTTCTTCCATTGTGGTTCTGAAGGAAATGATGCTGAATGGACCTGCAAGCAAAAGAAAATATTTCTTTTTTGGTAGGAATGATTAGCTAAAAAGAGGAGATGAGGCATTGCTAATTGAGAATGATTTTTGTTTTTTCACTAGTGGTGCTTTTCATACAAATCACGCAAATATACAGTGGGGCCTTGACTTACGAGTTTAATTCGTTCCGTGACGGAGCTCGTAACTCAAATTACTCGTATGTCAAATCATTAAAGTGAACGAGTGAGACACGTGATGCTGGGCTGATGTTGTGGCGTTCACTGTGACGTTCGCTGCGCCAACTAGTGGTGGGGTATCTGAAGCTGGTTCGTAACCCGAATTTTAGCTCGCAACTCAAAGCAAAAAATCGGCTGAGAGAGACGGGCTCGTATCTCGAAAAACTCATTAGTCGGGACACTCGTAAGTCAAGGCCCCACTGTATATTTTTTCACAATTATTTTACCCACAAATAATGTAGGTATGAGGAGAGGAGGTAGTGGTTTGTGAACAGACTTTTAAAAATATTGTCATTGTTATTTTTGAATGATCTCTTACTCAATTTGCCGAGTCAAGCCTTTTGAAACAACTCCTAAACCAGAGAATTGTGTGGCTAGGGCCAGGCAAATGAATCAGAGTTTTTTTTTAGTGCACCGAACAAGTTTTGCAAACTTGTTTCTGAAACTAGTGAAAGTTTCTGAATGAATTTGGAAAGCCTGAGTCTTCTATTGCCAGGGTACCCTTAAGTTTTTTTGTTTTTTTTAAAAATATATTTTATTGATTTTTTACAGAGAGGAAGGGAGAGAGATAAAGAGTTAGAAACATCGATGAGAGAGAAACATTGATCAGCTGCCTCCTGCACATCTCCCACTGGGGATGTGCCCGCAACCCAGGTACATGCCCTTGATCGGAATCGAACCCGGGACCCTTCAGTCCGCAGGCCGACGCTCTATCCACTGACCAAACCGGCTTTGGCTACCCTTAAGTTTTAAAAAACATTTCTTATTCTTCATTTTTTATTATAGTTTTATTGTGTTTTGAATGCATAGAGATGGGGCAAAAAAAAATCCTTTTTTAAAAAAATTTTCCCTTCTTTAAAATAATTTTTAGAAGTATTGGTTTATGAGTTGTTGCTTTAGATTCTCTATTTTTACATCTGTATGAATTTACTATGTGGTTATCAAAGAGTCAATATTTTTTCTGACAAAATGCATATTTTAGTTTCTCATAACCAATCTGGATTTATTCTAGGTTATAACTCACATTCTTTTAAAAGTTCCCTTTTGTCCTAAGGGTCACTGTAATAATAACCAACTGGCAGCTAAGATTGACCTAAGTAATATCTTTTCACATTTTCTTTTCTTTTTTGGCATTATATACTGAGGTATCCATGTCACCAGGCTCAGGAGGGCCTTTTCCTTTTACATTGACTTTACTTTTTTCTATTCTTTTAGGTCTTTTACTACCATTCCTACAGTGGTTGGCAAGATATCGTTTCTACCTCACTCTCCATGTACCATGCCAGTGACATCTTAGCTGCTAGAGTGTGGAGCTGGCCTGTGGGAGTCAAGTAAGTGCCTTTTTTACTATTTGGCATGGTTTTTGCTTACTTTGCAAAGCCATGTGGAGGAATTTTTTTAAGATTAGTTTTTAAAAAGGCACTTGCTTGATCCTTGTGGGTTGGCTCTTTGCTCCAGCCTGCTACTGAACACCTGGTAGCCAACATGGTGCTGAATTTAGCGCGGTGACTATTGCAGAATGAAACATTTTTAGTAGGGTAGACCTGATCTGATCTTGGCTTGATTAGACCGTGTATAGATGAACAACCCCTGTCCCATCTCAGAATCAATCAGAACTTGTGTTAGCTCAGTTAGTTACTTTGGCCTCTTGGAAATTTAAGATTATGACCAAGGGTCTACTGGTCTAAACCAACTGGGTTGTATGGAAAAAGAAAAGTTCTCCCAGGAAAGCTAATGACCTTGACACTTACCTGAATTAGTTTACCTTACTATATAGAAATGATATTTGCCCTCAATGAGGTTTGGATTTCTGTATTTATTGCTAAAACCTGGTATTTTACTTTTGCAGGTCACCTTGTAAATTTTGCTACATAAATTAACACATCCCTTGTTATGTCATAACAACCATGTAAGGGAGAGTGTTTTCCTGCTCTGTCTTAGGTATTGGTGATGTGACCTGTTCACGCAGGGGAAACTTGAACATTCTCAGGTATGTGAAGATCATGATTCGTAAGCATTTGCTTCCTGCAAAAAAAACCCCAGTTTATTTCAGTGTGAACTCATTATGTGGTTTTACAAAATCAGTCTTGCCAGTTGATGTTCCTTCCCCTGATATTACAGAGCAGAGATTGGCAAACTATAGCTGGGACTACTGTATTTTTGTAAATAAAGTTTTATTGGAACACAGGTAGATCTGTTCACATATTGTCAGTGGCTGCTTTTGGCACTACAGCAACAAAGTTGAGTTGTGACAGAGACAAAGCCTGAAATATATGATTCTTTAAGAAAAAATTTGCCAACTCATGCTATAGAAGAACTAAACTTCAAGTTGCATTTAGATATAAACTTTCTACAACCACAGTTAAATTCAAATAGTCTTCTAAAGGGAAAGCCAAGGCCTGTGTCATAATGCTGAGTAGGAAGTAACATTTGCAATGTATATAGTGGTGGGATTACTAATACAGGTTAATGAAGAGGAAAACTATGTATGACAGTAGTCCACTTTTTATTGTATTATCTCCCCGCCCCTATCCCTCAGTAGATGTAAACATTCATTCAGTGGTAGGATATTATTTTTCTTTCTAGACACACTAAAGCAGGGGTCCTCAAACTTTTTAAACAGGGGGCCAGTTCACTGTCCCTCAGACCGTTGGAGGGCCGGACTATAGTTTAAAAAAAAAAACTATGAACAAATTCCTATGCACACTGCACATATCTTATTTTGAAGTAAAAAAACAAAACG